GTTGAGTAGAACGCAAAAACGTTGTTTGTGTGCCAGAAACTTCATGAAGCATGTGGAGGGCACATTTTTTGTGGCCAGGACAAAGTTGTGGCCCCTAGTGAACGTTGTACATCTTTTCACAAGAAGAGTAATCAGGAACAGCCATGTATAACCCAGGAGCAACACCCTTCTTTTTCATGCCACAAGTACACAACCAAATCTGTCTGGACAAATGGCCAGGCAGACAGGCTCTAAAAAGTGTCAATAATGACAACGTTCTGTTCCTGGCTTGAAAGTGTGCCTTCCTGTTTGATTGTGCAGTGCTGACTTGGGCAGAAGTGATCCTACCCCGTGAACTTTGTTTGATTGGCAGATACTTCTTGAAACACGTGGAGGGCACAGTTTGTCTGGACAGGACAAAGAACAGAACTTTTGCAGTGATTCTCCACATATCCGCATCTTTTTTTAAAAAAAAAAACACCCTGAAGTTTCCAGCGGAAGTCCCGCAGCAGCCATCTTGGGAGCCTCTAAATCTCGCAACAAAACATCAAGTCTGGACAACGGAGGCAGAAATCCCAGGACCAACAGGTATGTGGACCTCTTCTGCAGACCCAGTATTCTTGCCCCTGTTTATAACCCATGATTTAGTGCTGTCTGGAAGTGTCCTAAGGCCCCTTCTACACTGCCATATAATCCAGATTATCAAAGCAGATAATCCACATTATCTGCTATGTACTGGATTATATGAGTCTACACTGCAATATAATCCAGTTCAAATCAGATAATCTGGATTTTATATGGCAGTGTAGAAGGGGCTTTACACTATAGAGTTAATGCAGCTTGACACCACTTTAACTGCTCTGATTCAATCCTATGAGATCCTGGGAGTTGCTGTTTGGTGAGGCACCAGGCCTCTTTGGCAGAGTAGGCCAAATACATTTGAAAGCTACAACTCCCAGGATTCTATAGTTTTGAGCCATGGCAGTTATGGTATTAAACTGCTTTGATTCATCCTCAGGGAGAGGATGAATAGGGAAACATATTTGCTTTCTTTTAACCACTGCCTTAAGACTTTAGTGTTTTATCAGGAAGGGCAAGGGCCAGTATTTTTCAGCATTCTGGGTACAAGTTTTGTTAGCTTTTAAGTCCCCATCTACACTGCCACATAAAATCCAGATTATCTGATTTTTAACTGGATTACATGGCAGTGTAGACTCATATAATCGAGTTCAACATTGATAACGTGGATTATCTGCTTTCAAAATCCGGATTGTAAATGGCAGTGTAGAAGGCGCCTAAAATGCCACAAAACTCTGTGTTCGTGGCAGTCATCCCTTCATGGGACAAATGCAGCTGGGAGCCCTTCCAGACAAGGCCCTGTATCCCAGGAAATTATCCCAGGTTTTCTGTTTATCCCAAATTATTTATTTACTTACTTACTGTATTTATATACCGCCTTGCTCAGCTTACAATATCATAAATACAATAAAAAACATAACATATAATAAAAATTAAACATATCAATAAAATATAAATTCATAGTGTCGCCTTGTTAAAAGCGCTGTCCGGTCTCATTGTCATCAATCCATTTTCCTATGTCAGTTACTCTGCATTTGCGAATGCGTGTTCAAAAAGCCACGTCTTGGCTTTTTTCCAGAATGTTAAAAGGGAGGTGGCCGATCTAATATCTATAGAGAGGGCGTTCCACAGCCGAGGGGGCCACCGCCAAGAAGGCTCTGTCACTCGTCTCCGCCAAATGTACTTGTGACAAAGGCGATAACGAGAGCAGGGCCTCCCCAGACGATCTTAAGGTCCTAGATGGTTCATAAGGGGAGATGCTACTTCCCGGTGGATGTCAGGTGGTGCGATACCGGCTAAACAGTGTAATTTCTCCAGTGGTGTAGGGCGCAGACACCCCGTGATAATGCGGCATGTCTCATTAAGAGCCACATCCACTGTTTTAGTGTGGTGAGATGTGTTCCACACTGGGTATGCATACTCCCCAGGTTGTGCCAATCAGCTTTCGTATGATATTGTTTCTAGCACCCACTTTTTGCTTGATATTCAGGCAGTGCTTCTTGTAGGTCAGGGCACACTCCAGAGTGACTCCCAGATATTTGGGTGTGCTGCAATGCTCCAGTGGGATTCCTTCCCAGGTAATCCTCAGAACTTGGGATACTTGTCTGTTCTCGAGGTGAAAAACACATGTCTGTGTTTTAGATGGATTAGGGATCAGCTGGTTTTCCCTGTAATAGGCAGTAAGGGCACCTAGAGCTTCGGAGAGCTTCTGTTCAACCATTTCAAAGCTCCCTGTTTGAGCAGTGATGGCAGATCATCGAGCATAGATGAAACTCTCTGTCCCTTCTGGCAGTGGCTGGTCATTTGTGTAAATGTTGAAACATGGATGGAGCAAGAACGCTCCCCTGAGGCAGGCCGTTCTTCTGTTTCCGCCACCTGCTTCTCTGGCCCTGGACCTCAACAAAAAAGCTCCTGTTTTGTAGCAGGTTTCCTGAGACGGGTGAGGTGGTAGTCCTTTGTGATATTATACATTTTTCTCAGGAGGAGGCGGTGGCTGACAGTATCATAAGCCGCTGACAGGTCTATGAAGACAGCTCCATACAGGGCAGTGTGGAAGGGCCATAATTAGCTGAGGCCCCTTCCGCACAGCTTTATAAAATCCCATATTATCTGCCCCCAGTGGCGCAGTGGGTTAAACCCCTGTGCCAGCAGGACTGAAGACCGACAGGTCGCAGGTTCGAATCCGGGGAGAGGCGGATGAGCTCCCTCTATCAGCTCCAGCTCCTCATGCGGGGACATGAGAGAAGCCTCCCACAAGGATGATAAACATCAAATTGTCCAGGCGTCCCCTGGGCAACGTCCTTGCAGACGGCCAATTCTCTCACACCAGAAGCGACTTGCAGTTTCTCAGGTCGCTCCTAACACGACAAAAAAAAAAACAAAACAAAACAAAAAAACTGGAATATATGGCATTGTTGACTCAGATAACCCAGTTCAATGCAAATATTGTGGGATTGTCTGCCTTGATATGCCTGTATTATTATTATTTATTATTATTATTATTAACTTTATTTGTACCCCGCTAGCATCTCCCGAGGGACTCGATGCGGCTCACACAGGCCGAAGCCTCAAAACACAATACAGTAAAAAAAAAAACATAACACAACAATAGCAAAGCAAATCAAACAATAAGCAATAACGACACCAACAATACATCAAACATTATTAAAACTGGCTCGGCCGGCGCGATGGGTACAGGAAATTAAAAGTGCTGAGGTGGTGGGGCACGTGGAATTAAAAGTGCAGTGTGCAGTGGCAATTAATTATGCTAAGGTACTATCAGAACTCAGGTGGGGATTCCTAGTCTGAAAAGGCACAGCGGAACAACCAAGTTTTTAAATTCCTTCTGAAAGCAGCAAGAGAAGGGGCCTGTCGGAGATCTTTTGGGAGGGTGTTCCAAAGTCGGGGGGCCGCCACAGAGAAGGCCCTGTCCCGTGTCCCCACCAAGCGCGCTTGCGACGTAGGTGGGATCACGAGAAGGGCCTCCCCAGATGACCGGAGCGAGCGTGTGGGTTCGTAGATGGAGATGCGGTCACGCAGGTATGGTCCCAAACCGTTTAGGGCTTTATAGGTGAGCACCTGTACCTTGAATTGGGCCCGGAAAATAAATGGCAGCCAGTGGAGCTCCTTAAACAGAGGGGTAGACCTCTCTTGATAATGAGCCCCCGTTAGCATCCTAGCTGCTGCCCGCTGGACCAACTGGAGTTTCCGGGCCGTCTTCAAGGGCAGCCCCACGTAGAGCGCATTGCAGTAGTCCATTCTAGAGATGACTAAGGCATGGACCACCCCGGCCAGATCAGCCTTCATGAGGTACGGTCACAGCTGGCGCACGAGTCTCAATTGTGCAAAAGCCCTCCCGGACACCGCCGACACCTGAGCCTCAAGCGTAAGCGATGAATCCAAGAGGACTCCCAAACTGCGGACCTGTGGC